ATCTCCTACTTTTCTGTGGAAAAATCCCAATTCCAACTGAAATAAACAGGGAAATGAAGGAGCCACGTTCTGGACCTCACCCTTTCTGATTTTTAAAAAAATATATTTGTATTAATTTCAGAGAGGAAGGGAGGGGGAGAGAGAGAGAGATGGTGATCGAGCCCACAACCCGGACATGTGCCCTGACCGGGAATCAAACCGTGACCACCTGGTTCATAGGTCGATGCTCAACCACTGGGCCACACAGAGGGCAGTTTTTCTGATTTTCATCCCCCAGAGCTGAGAAGTAGTCAGACCTGACAATAGGAACAGAAACAGGAAGAGTGTATGGCTTGATTGACATAAAGATCTGCCCCTGGCCAGGTGCAGACAAGCCCAGTCTTCATAGTTAGGATTGTGCTTACCTTTCAAAAACACATGAAAACTTAGGGATGACTATTTGCTGTTTTAATTTAAAAATAAGACTACAACATTAGCAAAACCACCCCAAGTTCAGAGCATACTTAAAGCAGAGCTGCCCAGCTGGTGTGCTCAGTGGTTGAGCATTGACCCATGAACCAAGAGGTCGCTGGTTCGATTCCCAGGCAGGGCACATGCTTGAGTTGCGAGCTCGAGCCCCAGTAGGGGGTATGCAGGAGGCTGCTGATCCATGATTCTCTCTCATCGTTGTTTCTATCTCTCCCTCTTTCTCCCTTCCTCTCTTTCTCAAATCAATAAAAACATTTTTAAAAGATAAAAAATTTTAAAAAGCAGAACTGATAGGATGCTTTAAAACTATGGGGGTAGTATGCACAACTGTCTGAAAGTAAACTAGAATTCACTTTGAAGACTGAACAGAATATGTGTGTGTGAAAATGTGTGTGTGTGCGCACATAGGAAGATAGAGTAATAGACTCGCGCGCGCGCAAACACACACACACACACACACACACACACACACACACAGGCACATGTACACACAGGATCAAATGTACATGCACACATGAAAGAAGAGATAAAGTTAAGAGGCAGATGGCTAAAAAAAATGGCCTTTTAAATGACCTAGTCTGACTCTCATGGTGAAAGGAATCTATTTTCTCTTCATTTTGAAATCATTTCATGATTTTACACATCTTATTGTGGCAATTGTGTTTGCAGAAAGAACACTTTCGTACCACGCTCTCATGGCTGGGACAGAGCCAAATGGGTGCTGGAAGGTGAAGAGGCAGTGGATAGAGCGTCGGCCTGGGGACTAAAGGGTCCCAGGTTCGATTCTGGTCAAGGGCATGTACCTTGGTTGCGGTCACATCCCCAGTAGGGGGTGTGCAGGAGGCAGCTGATCGATGTTTCTCTCTCATCCATGTTTCTAACTCTCTATCCCTCTCCCTTCCTCTCTGTAAAAAATCAGTAAAATATATTTTTTTAAAAATGAAAACTCATGAGGGGCAGGGTGACTCCACTAGGACATTGTGCCACACCAGCACGGCCATGGGTGAACCTGAGGGGGGCGGTGAAGGATTAGAAAAGACAGACAAGAGAATAAAGCTGGGGCCAGGTGGGACGCTGTCCTCTGATTAGAGAGACAGTGCCACCGCCTGCAAGCCGTGTCTTTATTTTATAGCCAGATTCCACGAGGCAAAGTAAGGGCTTGGTCAAGATGTTTATAGCATTCTCGTGGATTTCGAATCTACTCAATTACATGCACCTGATCAAGCTTTGTTTTGGCAGCACTTGCTGCACCTCCCACAGCCCGCCTCACTCAGCCACCTGGGACCACAGGTTCAGACCAGAAGGTCAAGCTTACAACTACAGCCTTTGGCTATAATCGTGCTGGGAGGGCTCTGCCCTCCAAGCTGGGACTTGCACGTGGCTTTGCCTTGAGAGGATGGTGCCCTCTCATTAGTCCGAGGCTTGAACCTATGCAAACACTGTAGCCGCTCTCCGCAGGACATGCCCTCAGATGCATATACAGAAAAACCCTCCTTTACCTGCTCTCTGTGCAATCCTGGGAGGTGGGGTTCCCAGGCCTCTCATCTCTTGCCAACCCTGGTCTTTTTTTTTTTAATATATTTTATTGATTTTTTACAGAGAAGAAGGGAGAGGGACAGAGAGTTAGAAACATTGATGAGAGAGAAACATTGATCAGCTGCCTCCTGCACACCTCCTACTGGGGATGTGCCCACAACCATGGTACATGCCCTTGACCGGAATCGAACCTGGGACCCTTCAGTCCGCAGGCCGACGCTCTATCCACTGAGCCAAACCGGTCAGGGCACTAGCCCTGGTCTTATAAGTCTACCCTTTCCCTATAGGGCTTACTACTTACCCTATACCAGTGATGGCGAACCTTTTGAGCTCGGCTTGTCAGCATTTTGAAAAACCCTAACTTAACTCTGGTGCCGTATCACATATAGAAATTTTTTGATATTTGCAACCATAGTAAAACAAAGATTTATATTTCTGATATTTATTTTATATATTTAAATGCCATTTAACAAAGAAAAATCAACCAAAAAAATGAGTTCGCGGGGAACCTCTGACACGTGTGTCATAGGTTCGCCATCACTGCCCTATACTATGTAACATACAGTTTATCCAAATCTTTTTTTTTGAAGCTACCATTTTTCTAAATAGTTTATTGATTTTGAGAGAGAAGCATCGATTGGTTGCCTCCCACACATTGCCCCAACTGGGAATCAAACCCGCAACCTTTTGGTCTATGGCAGCGGTTCTCAACCTGTGGGTCGCGACCCCTTTGGCGGTCAAACGCCCCTTTCACAGGGGTCGCCTAAGACCATCCTGCATATCAGATATTTACATGACGATTCATAACAGTAGCAACATTACAGTTCTGAAGTAGCAACGAAAATAATTTTCTGGTTGGGTCACAACAGGAGGAACCGTATTTAAAGGGCCAGAAGGTTGAGAACCACTGGTCTATGGGCTGATGCTCCAACCGACTGAGCCATACAAAGTCTTCTTAAGTGACCTGTGGTCAGCCGAAGGAGCCGCCTTCGTGACAGAAGAAGCAGAAATATTGGGGATCATGTCTGGGTGGTGGAGCTGTGCGCAATGGCGATTTTCTTATTTCTACTTTTCTGACTTGGTAAATTGCCGACCTTACTTTGAGAGCCAAGGAGGGGCTAGTTATTATCGACAATGAACTTGAAACCACCTCAATAGTAGCCCCTCAGAAGAAACAGCTGTACTTGGTGATTTGGCCTTGAAGTAACCACTGGTTCTTTACAGATGTAGTCTATGAGGCAGCGATTGTGAGGAGAATGTAATCCCGGCTTCTCATTTACCCCGTCAATGCTGCTTGAAAGAAACAGGCCAGGACTCTGCTTCGGCGGGTGACAGTCCCTGTCACAAAAGATTCTTTCTTCGAAAACCTCTTACTGCATCTTTACCAAGTCGTTCTCCCTCCGGGACTTGCGGGGAAAGCTATTCTTGTGAGAAATAATAAATCAAGCAAAATAAACGATGGCCCGAAAAGGGATTTACACTTCCATTTGCAAGAAGGGAGAGTGGCAGTAGATGAGTCAAAGTCACCTCATTGAATTCATTGTCCTAAAGAGGGTGCTTATCTGGCTCCCCGGCCTATAGGCATGAAAGAAGCGACTGAGGAGAGGGTTGGACAGAGAAGGTTCTGTGGACTGCGAGGCTGGCGGCGGGGGGCACAGATAAAGAAATGCCTGCCTGACTCTGTGAAAAAGAGGTATTAAGAGAGGTTTTAAAAGTAGATACAGCCCTGGCCGATTTGGCTCAGTGGATAGAACATTGGCCTGGGGACTGAAGAGTCCCGGGTTCGATTCCCAGTCAGGGCACATGCCTGGGCTGCAGGCTCCATCCCCAATAGGGGGCGTGCAGGAGGCAGCCGATCCATGATTCTCTCATCACTGATGTTTCTATCTCTCTCCCTCTCCCTTCCTCTCTGAAATCAATAAAAATATATTTTTTTAATAAAAGGTACATTGCTAGACCCCCCGTGGATGCCTGAAGCCGCGGATAGTACCGAACCCTATAGACACTATGTCTCTCCCTATAGACACATACCCTGTGGAAAGGATCCCCTGTCACACCAAGGCAAAATGAGTATTACAGAACCAAGGAGCAATTCCCCAGTGAAGCCACTTAATTTCATGCAATTTAAAGCAGACGCCTGTTGATAAATTAGCTCCAGAACCGCCAACTGTGAAAAATGGGGCTGCCGTCAGAGGCGCCCAGACATAGATTATTTGTCAACAGGAGCAATGAGCCCCAGAGCGAGTGACCCAGCTGCCTGCAGGCCACGCCACGACTCTAGCAAGTCCCCAGCGCAAAGCACACGGTTGCCATTAATGACCAGGGATTAGCTGTGTCATTCTGTCTTAATCCCTTTTAGTTGTTGTTGTCGTTCATCCTCGCCCGAGGATATTTTTCCATTGATTTTTAGAGAGAGTGGGAGGGAGGGAGAGACAGAGAGAAATATCAATGTGAGAGAGACGCATCGATTGGTTGCCTCCTGCATGAGCCCCGACCAGGGCGGGGGAACCTGCAACCAAGGTACGTCCCCTTGACCAGAATCGAACCCAGGACCCTTCGTTCCTCGGGCCAATGCTCTATCCACTGAACAACACCGGCTAGGGCTCCATCCATATTTGAAGGAGACAAAAGAAGTGCAAATGCTCTTTGGTTGTCTTTTTTAAAAATATATTTTTATTGATTTTTTAAAAAATATATTTGATTTTTTACAGAGAGGAAGGGAGAGGGATAGAGAGTTAGAAACATTGATCAGCTGCCTCTTGCACACCCCCTACTGGGGATCTGCCCGCAACCAAGGTACATGCCCTTGACCGGAATCAAACCTGGGACCCTTGAGTCCGCAGGCTGACACTCTATCTGCAGGCCTTTCAATGGGAAGGCAAGTAAACGCTCAGCTTGTCCCCTCAGGCCGAGAAGTTTCCCCATCTGTGCCGTGAGAGTGGTTTTGGAGATTGTTTTCCCCTTGCAGGCTCTTCTTCCCTTTGGTTCCACCTGTTTCATTTCCGATGCTTCTCTATCTTCTCCGAGGTCTTGCTGGAATCGGCTGGACCCTGGTCCCCGGGATTCATGGAGGATTTCTCTATGATGACCAAAGCCTCTTTAATGTAGTTCTGCATCACAGACACGGTGTCACAGATGGCCTGGCTGCCAAACCCGTGGGTCATCAGGCTGAAGTGAGTCACGCAGTTCTGAATGTTCGCCTCTGAGACTGGGGCCGGCCTGTCCCCGTTGGGTGTTCGGTCTTGGTTGAGAAGGTCCGTGAATTCTTGGCACACTTGCTGTGCGGCCAGCAGCATGTCCTTCCTCGTTGCCATCTCATTCCGTCCTCCGAGATGAGGGCTGGTTAAGTACTCGGCCACCCGCTTACTGGGAAACTCAGCCTCACAGACATACGCGAAGTCCCGAGCCAAGTGAACGGCCTCCCCTTCTACTAAGGACGTCAGGAGGGTGACGCGTGCAGCCTTCCGTCTGCCGGCTGGAAGGTTCAGCCCCATCTTGTGCAGCTTCTCCCGCAAGGACCGGCATCCATCTTTAGACTTGGCTCTTCTGAGAACACCTCCCAGTATGGAGGCATTTAAGCACTCAGGCGGGGACAATCGCCTCTGGACTTCGGCAACTGTCACTTTGTATTTGGACGTGGAGCCCAGGAGGGACAATCTTCCGGGGACGGAGCAGAAGACCTCACTGGGGTCCATCACAGCCGCCACCAGCTCCTTCTGACAGGGGAGACTCAAGGGATCCTTGGTCATTGAAATGGGATCGTTGCGAATCCCAGTCTGATCATGCAGAAGCAGGTGCTGCTCATCCACCCTCTGCACCTGGTCCACCGGGTCCCCCATGTCATGAAGGCCCAGGTTCTCCGCCCGCCCTGCTGCTTCCAGCCCAGAGAGATGGGGTAGCAGGCCGGCCGGGCGCCCGTGGT